ATCAGCAACTGAAAAGAAGTCAGGTTAAACAGAAAAGCACTAATGCACAGAATCAAATGGCAGAACTTATCACATGGCACCTAAGAAAAAGGAAGAAGGCAGAAGGTTCAATCTTTTAAGATTATACTTTGGATGCTCCAGGAAAAAAAAAACCTTCAAACATATTTATGCACTAATACAACACTAGTATGACTATAACACAATCATCAGTTGCAGACATCAACGAGGACTCAGTTCAAACAGCTTCTAGAGAATCCCTCAAAATAAGCAAATGCTTCGTTAAGCATTTGGCATAAGCCAAAGAAGCAACACTTCCTCTTTCCAGAAAAACTGAGTCTGCCCAAGCTGTCTCTCCATTTCACCTTTTCTGAATTTTGAGGATCTGCTTTTAAGCTACCTGTAACGTAACTGCAGTGACGTTATTAAGCTGTGGGAGAGGTCTGGTATCAGAGGACTCATGACAAAGGCCCAAGTTGCTAGGGATTTAGCCCTTCCTCATCACTTTTCATGTCCCTTGTTAATCCCATTCACCTAGTAAATGTTAGATTAGTTTAACTAGAAATAATATCTTTTTCTTACTCTTAGAACTAACATTTAAATTCAGCTGCAATTTAGAAAGTATCAAAATTCAGGTCAAACCACAAGCAGGTCTTGGCTCACTCCAACTGTTGCATGAGCTTGCAAATACTGTGTTTCTGTTGTTAAATGGTGTTGAGCATCCCTCCTTACAATGTGTGTGTAAAACTGCTGCTGATGGTTCTTATTTCCTTAAAGATATTCTTTACCTTTCTTCCCTGCAGGGACCAACTACACAGCTTTGGTGGTGGGTGTGGTGCTGGGATGCACAGTGATCTGTGTTGTCTTCTTGTTGGTGAAGAAATCCTTTGTGGGGGTGCAATACAGGAATGTCTCTCTACAGCTATGAGGCAACTGCTGCAAAGAGTATCCTAGGGATAAATTAGCTGAGAAAGCCCCTTTTCTCTTTGGATTCATCCCACAAATGTTTCTGGTCCACATACTGTGGAAGCACCCTGATGCTTCTAGCAGAGTCTTCAGCAGGCTGCCCACATGAACAGCAGGACAAAACTTAAGAGTATGTTCCCATCTGTTAAGTCCATTTATAACCGATAAGTTAAACTACAACTCCTCTCAGACAGGTGTGGAAAGGGGAAGAGTTCCATACTTCAGAAACCTGAACTCACTGAATGTGCCAGGGGACCCTTGTTTACCTCCTGTTCCCTACCCCAGCATTTCAAGCTCATGCCCTTCCTCTTTTTGTCCACCTCTTTTGCATGCCAGGGACTCCCTCTTTCTCCTTTTTCCTAAATCAGACTTTCCATTCTTCTGGGCAACAAAGAAATTGAATGCTCCCTTGCCCATATTCAGATAACTCTAGTTATAGTTAGGATCTCTGCCAAGTACACCCCTTTCCCCCTGTTCCATCCCTTTCCCCAGTATTATTCTGCTTTGGCTCTGGAGTAAGGCACCCATCTCTACTGGGAGGACAGATGGATAGAAGACATCATTTTTACATGGGAAGACAGCAGTAGCTGCCTTGAACAGTTTGCTCTACAACCTCTATCGAAACAATGAGAAAGGTGTAATATGTCCCATGTTCTTGTCCCTCCACTTTCAAGCTTCTGTCCGCTGACGCCCAGAAAATTCCTGGAAATCATGGAGCTGACTAGGTGTACACAAGTTACTGCAATACTTCCAGCCAAAGAAAGACACGCAGGTTGCCTGTAGTGTTCTGTGAGCTCAGCCAGTAAGATGGCACCCCTGGTTTGTGTGTGGTTCCTGGAAAAAATCAGCACCTGGAGGTTGCAGAGAATGGACAGATTTCCAAGGAAATGAGCTTTGCTGGTAACATCCCTAAGACTAAAGTACCAAGCACTCCAGAGTGCAATACTGAATCAGTGCGTGGGTTTAAAATCTCCAGAATTTGAAGCTCTCAAATTGTTTGGGCAGCAGTTTCTGACTGTAGGACAAGAGGACCCGTCATGTGATTTAAATGCCAGAATCCTCTATAAACAACTGATTACAAAGACAACAATGAAACCTTATGTATTTGCAAGCATTGCTAAAAGCTTGTTCTCACTGCAATATTGAGTTGCTACACTCAAGTTGCTTCATACAAGCTAGGTAGAGGGAGAACTATCACACCACAGAACACGTGCTAAACAAGTGTGTCAAGAGCTGATGCACTGTAAGGAATTCCGACACTGTCTCTAGCTGCTCTCTCATCAGTTCAAAGTCAGCTCTACGTGCTTTTTAACCCATACTACCAAATGGATCATAAATATAGACCTTTAAATTCAAATGAACTTTAAGCTAAAGATCAGCATGAATGATGATGAATTAGAGAAAACATTAATTAGATCTCAAGCTAAGATACTGATAAGGATAGGTTTTTCACTCAAAGGCTGAGAGTCACAAGGTGACAGGAAGCAAGGTTTCCCATGTAAACCAGTGGCCCAGAAAAACAAACAAACAAACAAAAAAAAATTTGGCGTTATTTGCCACAGCCTTGTTGTACATTCTTGGGTAAGAAAAGTATTTTAAATAGGACTGCTGAATGGTTTTATCATACTGTTTTCTTACAATTAGGGGAAGGGAATACATGCCATTTTAAGATATGGAGCAATTTTAATCAATTGCTGGAAAACTGAAACCCAGGATACATATCACATCTTGGATGCATAAGATGTGATACTTTATAGGCCTGCTTCTCAATCTGAGAAGGATCAAAGCACAGAACACAAGGTACAAAGGATACAAAATGGGGGACTCAAATTCTTCACATAGGAAATTTAAAATATGAGGTTTATCCAAAATACATTACTTTTTCTGTAACCTCACTTCCTGATTTCAGTTGAGATAAATACATTCCAGGCAAAAAAATGAAAACGTTACATTTGTAGAACGTGACTAACATGGAATTAAGCAGGGAAGTACGCTACAATACTCAAAACCAAAAATGTCATTGCCTTTTGGAGGGCTGTACTTCAACTCTGCTGCTTTTAACTAGCTTCAAAATAAACAGGAGTTATAGAAGTAGCCCAATGTGTTGTGTAAATTTTTTGCGGAGTCAAGAGACTTACTGCTGTGTTAAAAGCTTTCTCATAATCCAAGAATTAAATGAAAACTGTTATCATGAAAGGTCATCAACTCTCCATACATCATTTTTGATAAAGTGGACTAAGAGTGGAATTAATTGTACATGTATATGGGGAAAAAAAAGGTCAAAAAATAACAAGCAAAAAATATGGATATTACTGCCTTCATATTTTAATCTAGTGACATAAACCTCCCCCCCCAAAAAAAAGAATAAGACTTTCCTGAATGCATATGGCGTAACACAAAACAGCTTCATATATTTTCTACTTTAATCCAATGTTATTTTCCAAGGTGTTAGAACCATTTTTTCGAATCCTTGGCTAAAATTGTTCATATGGTATGAGAACTATCATCACTAATTGGTCATAATTTGTCAGTATAACATCTAAGGATGACACAAGGCTAGTTCACAATCTACATGAGAGAGAGGGTTGTCTTCTCAAAGTCATTGGCTTGGTCTGTCACTAGAAGTTAGGCCACATCCACACAACCAGCATCCTTACCCACCCCCCCCAAGCCCCCATTAAAAAACGTAGACACATGCATCACCTCTCCAGCCACTTTCTGACAGATCATGCAATTCTTCCTCTCTGTTTTGCAATAGCAGCTTCAACGCTGGGTACTGTTGAGATTACTAAGAAGATAAAAACGGACACCTGATACCAGAGAACGAAAATACAGTAACTCCTCTTTATCTGCTATGCAGCAAGAACCAGGAGGTGTTACAAAAATCAAAAGGCAATGTACTTATAAGTAATAAGTAAACTTCCCTATATAACAAACAAAACAGTTCTAACAGATACCGGCTGAGACAAAATAAGAGCAAGTAGCACAGTAAGGTCTTAGATCAAAGCCCATGGTTGTCTTAGCACTTTAAGTTCACCTGACAGCTTCTTGAGGAGACCTGGACAGAACTTCACAACCAAGGAATGAAACCTGGACACATGGTAGACACAAATATTGGCTTTTTCCAGATGGGTAATAAAAGGCCTAATGATTGTCACAACATCACAAGGAAGCACAGTTTGAAAGGTAATGCAGACTTGTACCTCTCAGACTCCTGCTTCAGAAATGAGACTGTGCTTTGTACCTGCAGTCAGGAGTTAGTTTGGGTGTGGCAAAGCTCCCTTACCTTAGGAGCCACATAAGTTGCACCCGCCTCTAGGACCCTGAATACCTACCCCAGCCCCTCTAAATCCCCCACAGCCCACTAGAAACGCAGATGAAACGTATGCTCTCTTTGTGACAGAGGTTAACAAGTCCCTAAGAAGAGCTGGCAGGAACAAGGATTTAAATTAGTCTATCAAGGCCAAAAATCTGTAAGCAGGGCTCCAGAAGTAACAGTAAGAAAAAAAAAATCCCATAGCAGATTATATTTAAAACTCACACTGAATTCTTGAGAAAAGACAGAACAAATAAAATAATCAAATCTTGTCAGAAAAGACAAAAAATTACCCTGCCTGATGACCAGTCATAACATCTGATTATCTTATCAAGAAAAAAATTTACACAGCCATAAAGGTCCTTCTCCCTACAGAGCACTGCTGAAATGTTGCTCTCAATTCCAGAAGTGAAGGAAAACTGTTAATCCATCTACTTTCCTATAGCCTGAATATGTTTGCACCTGCAACAGAGGAAAATATTCTTGGTCTGATCATCCCTTTCCACGTTCAAATTCAAGTTACATCTGCTGCTCAAAAAAGAAACCGGTTCCTTAAAACCGGTTCCTCAGTTATCTATTTGATATACATCAGCTGCCTACATTTTTTCTTTTCACCATAAAATTCCAGCAAGAGACAACTGCAATGCACTTGTCAGAGACAAATATTTCAATCAAATAAAATAAAAATTGTAATACATGCACCACAAAAGAGTAGAACAAATAAGCAATTAGAAGACCATTTAAAATCAGTTGAGCAAACATAACGTTTTTTAAATAGAAGTCCATTAATGTGAATAGGCAAGGAAGAAAACACATTATGCCAAGAGCATCACTACAGTGAACTGCCTTCAAACAGTTAGTTCTGCTTTATTCAGACAGAGTTTACCATGCATTTTCCATCATATCGCAAGCATATCCAAATGTTCAAGACAGAAATAGAGTCAGATAGTAACTCTGTGACTCCTCAAAAGCTGGGTAAGAACAGACCTCAAATTGTACGTCAATGACATATTAAGTGTGTATCTTGATATTTGATCTGCAAACTCCAAATGATTCACAGACAGCACTTGAAGCTTTAAGGGTGTAGAGAGAGATGCAGTGAAAAAAAAAAAAAAGTAGTAACAAAAATACAAGATGGTTTCATAATCACATCTGAAGCGTGGTGCACTTCAAAGTTTTCTTATTCACAACCTTCATCCATTCTATACATGCAAAACCTGACATTGCCACTTCACTGTCACAGTCATTTCATAGGCCAGGCCAGAAATTTAGAGAGATGTTTCTATGCAGTTAACAGACAACATCCTTAGCCTGCTGACTCTTCATCCATCCTAGCTGCAAAGAGACCTGCTCTTTCATTTCCTGCTGAATGAGAACACATCCAAACATGACACGACCTGTTAGTCCACAGCCAGGAAAGGACTTTTAACACATTCACCTGAACAAAAGAAGATTTTTGTGGTTATTTACATTTGTTCTTCTATCCGACAAAATGAAAGACAATCAAACCACAAGGCCATTACCAAAGAAACAAAACCTGTAATTCTCAGAATCCTAACGTGTAGCTGACTAAATGCTAACTTGCTAAAGCACAAAGAACTACACAGAAGGGATGCTACTCTTAACAGTAAATATTTGTGAAGCCTGTTCCACATTTTACTTCAACAGCCTTAATAAACAGCTGTGCATTTTCAACCCTCGCCCCCCTCCTTTTTTTTTAAGGGGATCACAAATACTTTTTACCAAAAAACTTAACAGATTGAATAGCTGCATCAAACAAAGACGATATGCACTTCAGCAGCTAAACTAGGAAAAAACTTGCTTTTAGGGGACAATATACCTAAAACTAAAAAAAGTTAAGCAACTGTATCTATTCTAAGCACTTGCTCCCCTGTAACCTCACCTGCTATTGCAAAGAAGAATTAGGTTCTGGACCGACAGAACAGTGGAATTCTCATTCTGCCCTGTCACCAGGTGCCTGTCCAGCACGACATGTACAGCATCCGGCTTGCTGGCTAAATACAGAGGGGAAAAAAGAACAACAACAAAAAACAAATATTGTGTTTCAGTATCATGTCACTGATGAAATTCTAATACATAAGATAACTATTTCAAACAAACATATCTGCTGGGTGACCGACATGCTGATCTATAACCTCAAGAGACAGGGACAATGTCAAGTCCTTAATTCTGAAACAATTTCACTACGAAGTCCTTCTCTAGAAGGACAGCAGGATTGACCCCTTAATTCAGTTGATACCAAATGGACAAAGTGTGTATTTCAAGAGATTTTCCTAAAAAACCCCCTCACCAAAGTAAGTTTCTTGTAAGTTTTAATCACACTGCAATACACTATAGACTCTCCTTATGTAAGACATCAAAGTAGTAACCACTCTGCTACAAAGAGCCTGCAGAAAGATATTTACTTTCTGGCCAATTATAATGCCCTGATGTGTTAATATCTGCCAGCAATAGTTCAGTATTCCACCTAGTATTTTTAATTGCAGATAGAAACATTATTTTGCCAGTAATGACAGACTCGCATTTTTCTCCCCCTCTCCCAGCTGCTTACCAACTATCTAAATATAGGCTAAGGGCCTTTACACATGCTTCTCCTCCTCTTGCTTAACTTGCTCAGTACCACTTCAGCCAAACATATATGACATAACAGCTACCACCAGGCAAGTGAGTGAGATATTAGCTTTTAAACTGCTTATTACTGAACCAGTTATGCAGAAGGAGGTGGCAGTAGCTCACTCAAAAAGCACAAAGATAAAGAATATACAGCACTTTGATAAGACAGTGGCATTTCTTTTCTCTTGTTAAAGGACACATATGCATAGCCTTAGGAGCCTGGTTCCATTTCCTGTCTATTCTATGTGTATAACTTCTATTCTAGCCATTTCAAGCAGTATCAGTTTATTGGTTGGCACTAGTCTGTTAAATAAAGGATTAATGACTTAAATACCATGGGCACCTTGTTACTCTCTTTAAGCACAGTATCTAAAAAATTTACCTAACAAAATAAGAGACTGAAAGGCAATCATAACTGAAGAACAGAGTCGTTCACAGTATATTATTTATTTCTGCCTGTAGCTCTTTAGTATTGCAGGAAAGTAGCACGTATAGGGAAATTATACTTTTCCCTGAACCTCCAGAAATAATCTAGCATAGACATCTTTTTGTTTTAATGGATTTAGTTTCTCACACGTCACAGAAGTTGAGGTTTAACAGTTTGACAGTCAAGCTGTTACACTTGTGACTATTAATAATGTGTATATAGTACTTGATAAAAAAAAAAAAAAACCACACACACAACAAAACCAGATTCATCACGGACGTATTTTATTCATAGCTATTAGGCAATTAATCAAAGCCAGCACAACCATTCAGCATACCCTCTCCAACTTTAAATGATGAACCACATTTACCTGAATAAAAAACAATCCCCAAATCTAAAAGTTAACCTCTCAGCACAGCACATAATCCCCGCCATGGGGCAAGGGACCAGTTGCAGTACATCACCTACACACGCTCTCCCCCACAGGTATGAAGACAGTAACAAGTCACTGTGAATCAGCAGATCCATGGTAACTCCTGCACATGCTCTTCCCTGCAGTACACGTTCTTCCTTCACCGCAGGATATGCTACCTCACATTCACCATGGGGTAAAAGAGTATTCATGGACAACCAGAGTAGCGTATTGCTCTATTTCTGCGCACATAGTATTTCATGTCACTTATTCTTAAAATACAATTTTTTAAAATCTATTAGGCTATTTGTTTACACCATGAAATGAGAATGCAAGACACGAGATATTCTGTCAGAATCCTGTTCACCTGTGTAAAAATGGCACACAAACATTCATCTTCAGCACTCAGCTACAAGGACAACAAAAACGTGACATACCACTAAACGTAGCTCCAGCATCTTTCACAAAATCCTCCACAATAATGGACAAACTGGCAAAATTAGGCTGCCTTATTAGTTCATACACAGAAGGCTGAAAAAGAACAAAAGGAAATAAACGTCTTGCTTTTTACGAAAAATGCTGAAGTGAAACCAAAAAAGATTTCCCTCCACAATTTATTTTTCTATCCCCAGCACCATTCTCCCAACTGTACAGAGAAAAATGAAATAGAAACAAAATATAAAATCAAGTGACCACAGACAGCTTCTATGGATACCTGCAAGGAGCAAACTGAAAATTCTTATATGTGCCAAATAAAGAGGCAGAGAAAGAATGATACCAAGTGTATTTTATTTTCACATATGAAGTGAAGGAATTGTTCCTCAATTCAGACCACAAAAAGATATCTGTGTTTTGCCTTTTCAACATCCAAACATTCCCTATTTAATTAGGATGACTAAGCAATATCCCTAATGGGTGTCACGTATGCAATTCTCTCTTCCCTGAATGACAAAGCTTTCCAAGGACTAACACAACATCATGCCTAACAATTATATTTATAATTCCACTTAATTAAATTTCCAAATGACTAGTTTTCAAGTAGTTTTAAAATACACTTTCTGCACTACAAAGTGTGAGGGAATATAAAGCTATTGGCTGCCATCCGAATTAAATCCAGTGCAATTACCATTAAAGAGAGAGGAAACAACATCTTGTACCCACAGAACAGATACAATTATAGCTTAGTTTTGACAAAGAGCTGAAAACACTTTGCTGCTTAGCTGTAATAAAATACACCACAGTGAGTCTGGTGAGGCATTCAATTTCTATCTCAAGATCAGCTCCCCAATAAGGCGTTACTGCAACTGGGTATTCTCACTGTTGTATTTGCTCACCTAACCGCACAGACTATTTTAAAGTAGAAACAATTAAAAATATACCCTATTGTATATTTTGAAGGTGCTCCATTGTGTTATTAAAGAGAGAGTATCCCAGCAAAGTCAAGTGAGTATACTAAAAACTCTCCCATCATCATATCATGTGAGATGATGTGATATGATGAAATAACTCAACACATTAATGCAAATGTAAGGCCTCTTTTCCATTAGCACACAGCTTGACCTTCAATTTACCATGGTCTAGAGGTGCTGGCATTCAAATGTTCGTAGTCCTCAGACCCAAAACATGTTTACTCTTAAATAAAAACCTATATTGCAGCACTGGTTGTTTATCTTCAAGCCATGAAAGAACTGCAGGTTTATACCCACGCTGCAACACCTCTAGCCGATACTTCTGGTAGAAGTAGGTGGTTTTCACTGAGCTACTCTCTGTGGATAAACCATTCAAAACAGAATACAAAAGAACTTTGTGCATCTGCACTCACAAATGAGAGTGGTATAGACCAGTTATTTAACTTGGTGGAGAATGCAGGTCTGGACCCTGAATAGTGCATACGTGATTAACTTCACTTAAGCTGTTCTTCAGATTCAATCCCCAGTAAAGAGTACATAAGAGTAAATTAACTCTAAATAAGTTTAGACTCTGCATGTGACACAATATTTGCATCAAAATGTGCATTTCGAGGTCCAACAGCTAAGCAGCTCTGCAGTTCCATGAAGAGAGAAAAATTAACAAGGAGTACTTTCAATATTGTCGTTCAGATTTCACATGCAGAAAATGAATGCGAATTTCATGGTTCCCATAGCAACTATAACTAGGCCATATTATGCATCTTATTATAAAAATTTCATCATAGATTGCAGTACTAAGTATAAACACACCAGGACTCTCTTGGACAGCTTTTGAGAGTGCCACGAACTTCCTTTCTTAACTTTGTGCATAAATTCCCAACTCTAGAAGTTGTGCTATATAAGTCTGCACTACCTTGGTGAACAGGTATAGGTCCTATATAAATGTAGTAGTTTGTGAGGTCAGAGATACGACAGTACTATAAACAAAACATCAAACATCAACATTATCTACCCACATTTTGAATTAGAAGCCAGTTTGTACAAATACCTTTTTTTCCCCCCCGAAACCTTCTCTATATTTTAAAAGCAAAAAAAAACTTTGAGAAATAAAAGTTACCTTCAGCATTCATGAAACTCAGCGAGGTAACTCTTAAAAGCCCTCAACTACGAATCCAAGGAGCTGCGGCAGTCAGTTCAGGCATTCTATTGAATCAATTTAGAGTTTATGAAATATTCTCCAAATGACAGTTTGTATGTATGTAGCAGGATAATCCCTTCATACATACAGTGTGGGGCCCCTTGTGAAGGGCAATTGTCCCGCTCTTGAAAGTGAGCCTAGTGTACCAAACTGATGATTTATAGTTGAAGGAAATTGTAGGATGTGATCAGAAACACTGGCAGCATCACCTCAAATCACAGTCCCCTGTACAGCAAAAAAAAAGTCTCATAAGAGCAAAAAAACTCTTGAAACAGCAAAAAGTTACCTACCCCTGTCAGACTGTATTCCTGAAACGCCCAGGATTTATCCTCATTGGTGGCACAACACAAAGCTGCAACTCCATGTCCAACCGCACAGATAGGTTCTATAGAAAAATCGCAGTGTATTTCAGAAATTGTATCTTTAAATAGCCAATAGAGGTTATTGCAAGGTAGCAGTCTTGCATAAACAGTGTTGTAGTACGGACTATTTTATTCAACACAAATATCTCATGATGTTCACCTACTGTTCTCAGTGCTGAAGTGCTGCAATATCCTAGCCAGGTATCCACTGTTTGCAAGGTCCGTCATAGCCCCAGGACAGTTAGGAATCAACAACGCGTGATATCTAGCACCTAGTAAGGAAAAAAGGATAAACAAATTGTCATACAAATAACAAGCAAAATGAGGCTGATCATAATGTCATTTCAGATTTGACAAAATTAAGACAACCCAGCATAGCTCAGTCAAACACTATATAAACTTAACAAACTAAAGAAATTACCAGATCTACATGGGGAAGAGAAAGAGTTATTTGAGATACAGAACACATATTTCCAATGAGACAGTCTTATGCAGACAAAGCTTAAAACTGTTGTGTTTGCTGGCTTCTACTTTAGGAAAATGTTTATGTATTTCCAAAACTAACATCATGTAAAATGCTTTTAAAATGGTAATTGTATAAAAATGCCAACTCTAGCTGTCAGGGTTTGACTTAAAACACAAGTTGTATTTCTTTTCTGTATCCTACTTCCCTAAAAAAGCTAACATTAAGAAGCATCTGTATCCCTAATAAACGGAGATGAGACACTGGCCAATTGTGATGACCCTTACCATCAATTGACTCCAATTTGGCAGGGTTTGCATATGATTTCATACGGAAGTCCTGTATCCAACGCATGTTGCTTTCATTCACATCCACAAAGTCAATTGATTTCCCCTAGTAGAAACATGTTTCAAAGACTGTGGTTAATATCACTACAGAGACTTCTGTTTTGTTTCTGGAAGGATAAGCACGTGAGATTTTGTGAGACTTTAGCTATGAAAGTAGAGAAGTTTTCCAATCTTTCTACTGAAGAGGTTTCTTAAGACTCATCTCTTCACTCTGTAGATAACAGATATTGGACAGTGAAGTTCAGAACCACGGGAAGCATGTCTTCATGTCTTCAGTTCAATATTAAGAAAACAAGAGTTTAAAAAAAAATGAGTGCCTTAATCTGTAAAGATAATAAAACATCTCTCAAAAATAGTTAGTATACTACTACTTTGTCAACTGATATATCAGTTGGTTTCACACTAAATCACAGTAACGTCCATTTTTACTTACCCCAGGAGTGGCAACTTGAAGATTAAAAGCAGAGCTAGTCAGTGTAAAGCAATGAAGGAAGGACTGGGCTGACACACCTGCAAAAGAGTCCTACAATTTAAGGAAAGAGCCGTTGCACTTTATACCAAATCATACTAGTACGTTTTCCTTGTAAGGTACGCAAACTTGTTTTCCTCTCATCTTAAAAGTCTCAAGAGTTTCAGAGGCTTATTGTTAAATTTAAGAAATACGCAGCCCTCATCACAGCTAGGTATGGAGAGATACATGCTAAAGGCATTCTGTCTGCCTGGGTTGGGGGTGAGAGGAAGGGGGGGGGAAAGGGCAGCTCTTTCAGGTAGTACAGCTCCGTGCATGCCCAGAACCAGGTAGAGATACAACCAAGGTGCAAGACAGCGCGCGGGCATGTATTCGCGCAGCGCTACTGTGCGCGCAGGGACACAGGGGCACGCATGCTCACCGGTGCACCTCGCAACTGAGCACGCACTGCAAGCAAGCTCATACCCGCACAACGCAGGGGCAGCAAGCGCGTGTGCGTACCTGCCCGCAGAGCACGGCTGAGCGGAGAGCAGGTACACCCCGGCCGCCCACTCTTGCGCACAGGCTGCTAAGATGCTGAAGGCCCGAAGACGGCACAGCCGTGCACGGAAGGGGGAACAGCGCGTACAGACAGGCTGTGCGCGCCTGTGCAGCCGCACGGCCGCGGACG